CGCCCCGTGTATGCTCTTCAAAACGGAGGGATGAAAAATTCTCATAAAGCTTCATAAATATTTCAAGGATTCGCATAAACGAGCAATTAGGCTGAATTAGGGGTCCCCGGGGTAATATCGCGTTTCAGTTGTACGGGATACCGATCCCTCTTCCGGGATTAATCGTTTCTCGATAGTCTTATATCCTGCTAGAGCCTTTTTTTAAACCAAACGTTGTTCTTTCTTCTTGATCCCTATGAATTATGCAACGTGGATGTATCATCCTCGGCGAGGGAACTTTCGGTAGAATCACGTATTCTCTGGACCCCGTTAATTATCTCGTTATTCTGAGTAGCTACTTCAACGGTAACCGGATACATCGGTTAAACAGGTTCGTTGATTATCCCGCGAATCACGCGAAGCATTCGTTGCGACCCGACCATTCGCGACAGGGATGGTTATCTTCTAATTAGAGCGCGATTTGCTTTGCTGCAATTGCTCTGATGTTTCTTTTTGTTTCATGAGTCTCTGTCAATTCTTTGTTCTTTAATTGCTTCTTTTCCTGGTACTCTCTGATGTCTTGTTATCATTCCTGTTGTTGCTTTGCGTCATGTAGGTTCGTTTTAAAAGCGCTGCATTACAAGCGTATTCGTCTTATGTCTGATCATTTATTTACTCGTACTACTTGCCTGACCACCCAATAATCTTTCAACCATTAAATGACCCTATTCTACTAGTCAGACCGTTTATTGATTCCAGTTAATTTATATTTTACTACTAATTGGAAGGTGTAAGCTTGGAAATAATGCAATATCATTTATGATGTAAATATGCAATCTGCGTCCTACATACATTCATCAAAAACTGTTTACAAAGTGGTTGGTTATTAAACACGACGTTGTGTTCTCGACAATATCAAAACGCGCCGCTATACCCCATGGATTTCGGTCTTGCCACGCGCTCGAGCAAGATTAATAGCAGCTTCATGAAGCTCGCTTGATGCTCGGTAATTAGGTAGAAACAAGAGAATGCTTAGGCAGGTAGCAAGGCTTCCATAGTTACTCGGGTAATACCTTAGAGGATAACTACAAAGTTAAGATCGAGAAACTGTATGAACTTACGATTACAATTTCCTATACGTCCCCAAGTTACTTGAAGATATTTGAGAAATCAATGATTCTCTTTGATTTCTTCTATTTATAGTTTCCCATGAAATTACTATTTATGGTACTTAAACATTTTAAATCACAGTTTAATATATTCCCATTGCACGAAATAACAGTAGTTCCCTCGACATTGTACTAAATAAAGTCGGTATTTTTTAATACCTATTACCACCTTACAACACCATAAAACTACCCTCTGCGTCCTCTCGTAAAATAAACACTGTCAGCGATAAAGGCTGACCCACGCGCGTATTCTATTAATTCGTGCTAGTCATCGCGTTTCCGCGCGTTACTCCCGGCAAAAGTGGGTCGTTGGAAATAAATTTCCATCTGGCTGGGAAAAGGAGGAGGAGAATAGAAGAGCAGCGTTCGCGCAACGATCCTCGAGCTTTGGTCAGCGGTAACAATCGGCGGACGCTTTGTACGTAGTACGCATTTCAGAGGCTTACCTTACCTGCACGGTCACCGGTGATCCAATAAACTAGAACTTAAACTTGGTTACGAGGCAAGCATTGCGTGCCGTAGCCGTAACCCTTGCCCCGTGGGCCACGATGAGAATGCATTTCATGCTGCTTTTTGCTCTACGCCCGACGTTTAATTATGGGACATTGTTCCTGACATATGTTGAGAAATTTCATTTTAGTCCTCCGTTCCATTGTGTTGTAAATCGAAAATAATTTTCCTCTGAAATTTCAAACCCTCGGTATTGCAGCTTGTATCAAGAAAATAAGGCTAATAAAATTCAAAATTTTTCTTATTAAATTTTAGTCAAAGCAAATGCATTTAAATTATGAAATTAAATTCTAAGAAAATATTGCTACTTCTTTCCGCTTGATTTATTTTAAACCATTCTTCTCTCCGTTTCATTTTCCATGCTACTTTTTTTATTACCTAAAATTCCAGACCAAACGAATTCCCGTTGACCATAGTATCGTTGACAACATCTATCTGGCGGTACAAATTACAGACGTCTGTAAAGTCACGGTCGTAGCGTGCTTCGGTTCTTTTTCACGTAGCTACGCAACTATGGAGCAAGGTTAGGTTACTACGATGTCGGTATCCTCGGCGAAACCCCTTTTTTCCGCCCTATGGGGTATAGGTTTGCTTAACGGCCCGTATAAGGTTTACGAGCGTTCCGGCAGGAACGGCAGAAAAATTTCTTTGAAGATGCTCTTCCACTTCTTCCTGTTCCCGTGAGCCAGCTAACAAAAATCTGCTGTCGTTTTTGTCTCGCGTTAATTCATGACCGGCTTGAAGAGAATTATACAGGATGCTGGAGCGTAGGGAAGGTATTTCGCATCGAACAGGTCCCGGACGTGTGATTTATCGAACACTAGGTAAACGAGAATAAACACGCACACACACACGGTGTGTACTCGAGTCTCTTTATGTGCAGAGGGTGTTTTGTTGTTAGAACAGGAGGGAAGCGTTTTAGAAGCGAATTTGCCTCTAGAGAATAAATGTTACAATTAGAATCCCAAATGTTAATTACAGTTGAAAGAAAAAAGGTATCTCGAAAAATACGCTTTATAAAATCAAAGCTTTCTGTGGTAACACGCGTTACATTTTAAAGTTAAGGTTAATATTGTAATACTTGAAAGGGTGTCGAGGTTCGCGAAATAAATCGGTGAAAGGAGATATTCGAAGAAATATGGAGGATAGGAGGAAACCAAACGGGAGAAAAGCAGCTGAGAGAAGTAGAGGGTGGAGTTGAGATGGGAGGAGAGGGTTAAAAAAAGGAGCGAGAGGCTTTTCCTCGCTTCGACTACCGGATGGCTCCAAGTTATTCACTCGGCTATAATAGTGCGGTGCTAGGACAATGCAAGCTTAATGAAAGCCATCCCCATCCTCTTTTCACCCCCTTCGTTCACCTGTTCTCCTCGTCGCTCCTCGTGACCGGTTTCTCTCTCTCACTCTTCTTTGTCTCTCCGCTTCTCTGTAGGTTCGGTGGTTCTTAGTCGACGCCAGCGGTAACGCCACCGCCGCTGTGTAGCTTGGGCGGACTGGCGTAAACACCGAACAAAGCAAACAATGAGACACAGAAGTGTCCCACAGACCTCGATCGCTTAATGAGAACTTTAAAGCGGCTCCGCAAACTACCAGTCTGTCTGGTTCAGAGAGGATCAGGGACGACCATGGGGTGTATAAGATGTTTTATCTAAACATCAGTGACCATTTTGGTGCACTTTAATCATTCGACTTCGATGCGTTAAAAATAATATTGATTTTTATTGATTTCTCTGGTTGAGAAACGATTTTTATTTTACGCAAGGATAGTTATCTTTCCGCGTGGGTGTAGAAACGCATATATACGCGTCCATAGTGTGGATACGGCCCAGTTCTGTCACTCGGTTCGAGGTCGCTCGTTAATGACGCGGAAGGAACGCTGCTAGAGCAGCAGAGACAAAGGGGCGGTTAGAGGGTGGCTCGTTCGTCAGGGACGCAGTTCCGTTTTGCCGATTAATAGTTTTGATGTCCATGGCAACGGTACGTTCAGCTCGTTTCCTCCTGGATGCTCATGTCGGTCGCAGTCTGAACCACCATTTTGATTTTATGTCGATAATTCCTTCCTTGTGTCTATTTTTCTTTTTTTTTTCGTGAGTTGAATTATTAAGAAATTTTATCAAAACTTTATATCCTCGTTCATTCGTGTTACACGCGTCAAGATAAATTAACAATCTGAAGTGTTAAAATGAACGCTCTCGTATCACACCGTTCGCAGTTGATTGAATTCGCACGAATAGAATGGAACAAAACGATGAAAATAATCTAGACCGCGAGGGGTTAAAGCGGCGAATTCGTGGGGTGGATGTTGTTTGTTCGGTGTCGAGGTGATTCGGGTTAAATGAACGAGTCCGGGAAGCGTAGGGTGGTGGTTTATCATAGGGGTTACATATTAGAAGTTTTGTGGCGGAGGAGAAAACGCTTTGGACGTGATTTAGCAAGGAAACGCTGATGGGTACTTAAGCTATAAACTAGGGGAAGAAATTGCATTGGAAAATTTAATCCACGGAAGGATGCTTGGAGATATAATCTTTGTTTGTCTAATTAAAGTTTCAGTTTTAGTAGTCATTGTGGATCACAATCTTCAACACGTATTTTATTTTCTTGGTCGCGTACACTAGGATTTTGTAAACAGTTTGGGAGAAATTTAATTAAAAAAGAAAAAGAATATTTTTTTTTTTTCATTTTTTATTTTCAATATTTTTTAAGTAAGTTCGATAAACCCTTCCCTAGTTTTTGTAATATCAAACTTTCTGAACAATCCAATATTATTGAAAAATTGTACGACTTTTGTTAAAGTATTCATGTTATGGAGAACAATTAATGGGCTTATTTTTAACGAGAGTAGAGGCTATTAAAAGAGATTGTATAATGAACTTTTATTGAGAAACACGTTTGAAATTACGTTTCTTAAGCCTATGTTCTAGGCTATCTAACGCGAATTTCGTGATACCTTGTTACTATACAATTTGTGTTAAGACACTAAGCTCGGGTCTTATCGAGCAAACCTGCCGCTCCAGTTTCTCTGTGCGGAGCTTTAATAAACAATAATAACATTGTAGTTTGGTGTACAAATATAAATATTGTATGGTATAAAACGTGCTGACCTAAATCCCTCTGCGATTCAGAATAATTTTCACGTTTTCCAACCGTTTAACGTTATTTGCTAACAAATTTTACACATTGTTTCTTCAACCTGTCCACAAACAAAATGCTCAGTTTTATTCGCAATAAACCTAAGTATTAACTTGATATAAGTACATTACTTTGTTTCGGACGTCTGTCGGCACATTTCGCGATCGAGGGTTATCGATATCGATGCTGACACTAATTGCTTAATACCTGTTTCAGATACTCCGTCGTTCGCGATAACACGTTTACCTGGTTTTGGAATTCCGATCGTCGAGGGGATGTCTGTCAGCTTGAAATGCGAGGTGGACAGCAATCCGGCGAGCACTCCAATCTGGCAAAGGGGTGAGTGATCATTTTGCAGCGAAAAAAATCACTGAACCTATGAACTGAAACGTAGCATGAAACGTCAACTCAGTCACCATTAGTGATCTTAAATTTGATTAAGAATTATACAAAAATTGGGTCAGTATAGAATGACCTAGAATTATTATTTATTACAATTTTGATTTCTCAGAGAAAAATTGCAAATACCTTAATTTTTTCTAACGTCAAACATCAGCATATTTTCTTATCTCATACAAAATATTCTGCTTCTTCCAACATTATCTTTCAGTCAATTAATTTTCTCCCAGTGATCAGCAAACAGAACAATAAATCGTGTATAATCATGTTACTTTATACGAAAACTGATAGAGAAATGCCATTAGAAGTCTAGTCGAATCAGGATAATAAATAATACATTCGATTCTCGACGAACAACCCCCTTCCCTTTCATCGAAGATAAGTATACGAGTCAGATATTATCTAGCTTCCTAGCGAAAGATCGTGCCTTTCTCTTCTCTAATCCCGTGTTGTGAATGTCTCGTCAAGATTAAAATTCTGCACCGTGCACCCTCCTCTCAGCGCCCTTCTTTCTCCTACGAATCAATGGGACTCCATTGAGATTTCGCTTTCGAAGCGTTCCGTCGACTTATTCTCGATAATTGGAAATCTCCTTGTACGAACCTCGTTGCCTCGCTCGAATTCGTTCGTCGCTTTTTTTCCTCTTCATCCCTCTCGCGTTGTAATCGATAACTCGAGGGTTGAAGTGGATCCCCGACTATGTTCCTTAGCCGAAGGAAGAAAAAGGATCTGATTTCGAAAGAGCATGGAACAGGAAGGCATTCGTTTTATGGTCTAAAACTGATTACGAAAGATACTAAAAAATTATTATAGCAAATGTATAATATTTGTTATTAGAAAAATAGTTTCGGGATATATTGAAATGTGTAGGCTGATTAAAAGCAAACGTATTGAAAAAAATCGATAAATGGAAAAGTTCGAAGGTTCGTCGTTACATTCTTTCCTTGAAATTTCATTGGTTTTATACGAGAGGACGAGGAACAAAGAATTATTCCCAGCTGAGTGGATTCATTAGCAGTCCCTTGTTCTTTGTCAAGCTCGTCGCCGGTGGACTGGCCTACGGCTTGATAAATATTTAAAGCCTCCTATAATTTCCCCTTTTAACAGTTCCGAATACTATTTCTTTTTCTCTCTTCGAACCTTTCCAGTTGAAGATGAGATTTTTAAAGGGATTTTAAACGGATGATTGAAATTCTATAAATTAGCACCAAAGTGATTGCCAATTTGAAACAAATTAATGCAATACGAATATCGTACTTTTATATTTTTTAAATAAATTTTAGAGGTGCCATTTAGGAAATCTGATAGACCTTTCGGCTACCGTGATATATTCGTCGGTGTAATAAGGTCAGAGAAAAAGCTTGTGAAAAATTTCATTTATCAAACAACCTGTGAATCTCGAAATCCCATTGGAGTTATTCTCGCGTTGGCCAGTGTCGGAATTCCCATTTTCGTAGATGCAACCTTGTTCGAGGCTGACGTTAACCTAGATTCGACGTTATGTGTCTCGTGACGGTACGTCCGTCGTACCAAACGTATTATACAGGGTGTACCAAAATTTGTGCCATAAACAAAACAAAAAAGATAAAAAATATTATACACTTAATTCATATCAATTATGATGCCCTCTCAATAGTCTGTAATACTTAAAAGAATATCTGAACCCTATTAGCAATCATCAACTCTGAAAGGGTGAAAGCAACCCTTAAATTTGGAATTTCAAATTATACTTGAAATTAAAATTTTCATTAAAATATCAAGTTTTTAATAAAAATATTTTAGTATTGTATTCATGATTTATTTTTTGGTGGGAAATGATATTCTTTTGTGCCATAAATTTTGGTACATCCTGTATACGTACAGCTTTAGATAATGGCCGCACCGCGAGTCGTTACATGTCCTGCTATGGGAATTAACGTTTGTTTTAATGGTACTTTTCGTCCCGAGTCTCCGTGTAACGTTGTTTCGTAACATCGTTGGTAGATTCATTTTCTCCCTTGTGTGATACAGTCATACGAACACCATGTTAGACTTGATTCAGCATTACTGATAACAATTCCGGGGGATGGTATGATTTGCAACTTGATTGCTCGATTTCGAAATACACGAATTGCTGACAGGGAAACTATTTGATAGAATCGATGAGATTTTTCGATTACATTCCCTCTATTTTTTAGATGGTAATTTTGGGACTACAAAATGGTGATGAATTTTGAGCAGGTTCTGATTGGTTGGAATAAATGACGGGTAAAAATAGAGATGATCGCAGAAGAATTTTCAAAATGAAAATTTTATTTTTTTTGTCTACTTAGAAATTTTTACGAATGTAGAGATATTTTGTTAAAATTTTTTCTTAAGTAGTAAGAATTTATAAAAGCCAAACCAATATTCTATCTGTTCGACTAGAAAATTGCTACTCAAAAATTTTCCAATATTTCTCTTTTCACTTCAATAACCGAATGCTTCCAATGCGGTAGCAAATTCGATACCTTATTCTCTATATCTTCGAGGCAGGTTTCTCGTATCGGTTAGATACTTCTTCCTGGTTCGAGGTAGATTGAACCTTTTTGGTTCAGCCACGAAATCAAGAGTAGGATTTACAATCAGGATCGGAGAGGATCGGTAACGATGTTGTTTTTTTGCTCGCTGCCGGTGGCAAATAAAAGTTCGAGCCACGGTATAATTTCCTTTATTCGTCGTCAATCAGAGTAACTGGAACTCGCGGATACAGATAAAGAGAGAGAGGAAAATGAGAGAAAGAGAGTAGGATTTTCGTGGCGAGTTTCATGATGGTATGGAGACCACTTTCTTGATTAGACCGTTCGATTTAAGCGAGCAAGCCCATTACGTTCGTTAAACGCATCGACTGGCCTCGCTAACTTTTCACGAAGCTACGTTTCTCTTTTTTTTTTCTTCGAATTCACGAATCGAACCGTACCCTTTCAGACTTTCACGAAAGTAGCCATTAATGTTACGACGTTGTTGATGTTTAATCTCGTTGCGAGGCTCGAGGATTCCTTGAAACATTTTTATCGTTATCCTCTCGAAGCGAAGCGTTGTAAAATACTAGCAACACGGTTTATTGCTTCTACTTAAGATAATTGAATGAAAGTAACTTTTCATCTATTGTAGCAGAGTTAATTATACGTGTGACACCCTGTACACGCGAAGGTTGAATTCTCCAAATGGAAACATTCTTCACCCCCCCAGTTGAAAAGCCCCATTTCACTAAACTGGAAGGGTAGTGAAAATCAAGGGCTGAGATAATCGTACCGTCCTCGTTAGTACCGTGTTATTGAGTCGCACAAAATGCTGAGAGAAGCTGCACCTGTCACTTTCTGCCACGATCAGCTGGCTGAGAGTGATAAGGAATTTGATGGACGACCATTTACTGTCAAACAGTCTACGTGAAAAATTATTGCTGAACAGCGATCGAAAAAATCATAATTCCACTAATTTGAGCCTTAAATAAAAATGAGGATGTATTTATTTAAAAATACACAAATTAATTTTATATCAATTTCAAAGGCGTTTGACATCTCTTCGCTTTAATACAGCGGACCTTAAACTAGAGAATCGAGCAGGAAAAAAGCCCTATCACAAGGTAGTTTGACGTTATAATTCAGAAACGTACGTATCGAAGCAATTCCTTCTTGATCGCATTACGAGTCGCGAGATTGTCCAGGAAATTGGCCGGCAAATCTCTCGCTGGCGACAGAAAAATCGGGCTTCCTGTCGTTAATGACGGATGGCTACGTTCAATAAATGGTGTGTTCGTTTCGCGTCGCGCCAGGTATACACCAGGTTATCCCATTAAATATTCAATTATTTCAGTCTGCCACTCGTGACGTTCGGAATATCAGTCGTCCGTGTACATCGGGTTAGCAACGAGCCAAGGAGGAGGATAGAAAGAGGGCTTAATCCCTATTCATAGACTCAATCGAGTGATTTCGAATAAATCCTGGCAGCGTTCCGCGAAATCCGCTGCAATTAAAATACTTTAATATCCTTTGGAGCACGTACCCGCTTCGGGCGATGCCTTCTTCCAACCACATCGTTTTTACCCTCGCCACCCCTTGACTTGTCTCCCTTTCCACCCCTCTCTCCTATCTTTATCCACGATCCCAATTTCTTCTCTTCCCTTTTTTTCTTTCTTTTTTTTTTGAAAAGAGTGCTCTTATTAAACGCCCCAATCCGGATGCCTGAAGGTATCGAGAAAGCACGTTTGCTTTCCTTCAAAGAGCCCTTTATCATCGAACCAACCGTACGGCAGATATTTCGACCATTCCATGCTTCATAACTGCTGATTTTTATATATGATATTTATTATTTATAAGATTCATAAATTATGTAAAAATGACTGAACTGTTTCATGCTTCGGGAAGCACGGGAAGGATGGTTGATGTAAAGATTTATCGAGGAAAAAGCGGAAGGTAGCGCGCCACTCATTCATCGACGATCCGATCAATATGTAATGATCGCTATAAAGTGCACCGGTTAAGGGCGAAGATGCTTTAAATGAAAAGAAGGATAAATTTATCACGGCACCGTCGAACGATTTATCACGACGATACATTCGAGCTGCGGACGTTCCGGAGAACGTACGATGGCGTCAGCTGTGGGAAACCGCTTCAGGGGAAGTAGATCCCCGTCCGATCATTGTTCATACGAAGCTAACATATAATACGATGGCAGCCAGAGTCAAATATATATCTATTATACGTAAAGTGAGATCCTAGTACGCAGTTTTTCTCGCGGCTCCACGATGAATCTCGTTGACGGCTCTTCAATGTCCTGTTTTTATTGTGTCGAAGAAAAATTACAGTTTTTAAAATCACCCTCGCTTTCGGTGAAATGAAATATTCATATGGTCTTACAGACTTCTAGTGGGAAAAATATAATTTTAATCATTTATTTTAACCCTCCCCTTTAGCCTCTTAACTCTTTAAATTAACCCTTCAATTTGAAAATTCAAAGTAATATCAAAGTAATTTTAATTTTATTTCTTTTAGAAAATTTCAAACCAAGTAGTAAAATTCTTCATCCTTTATATATTAAATTACCCTCCAACTTGATAGAATTTAATTTGAAATATAAATGTAGCTTTGACACAGTTTTAATTCAACGATTCTGAATTGAAACAATTAATTGCTTGCACGAATTTGTCGCAGTCCCGTTAAATAGAACAAGGATTTTAAAACGATTACATTTATGTTCTCAATGTTTTTTGGGCCGGTAATTATCGCACTAGAGGACTGTAAAGCGAAGGAACAGTTTTTTAGGAACATTTATACGCGCCGTTGAAATGAATAAACTTCACGTAAACTCGTGTCTGCGGGACTGCTTCCTGTCTTAATTACTCTCTACTTTTTCTTTACGAGAAGGTGCGGAAAAACGCAATCTGTGTTACTTCTTTTACGAGTAAGTAGCTGGTTGGTCGTGTTGAAACGATAGTATCTTCTCTCGTAAAGAAAGAAAACTTCTCTCATTAATTTCATATTTATTTTACACGAAATCATACTAATACCACTTCGAAAAGAAATCACATTTATTTCCAATGTTTTTTCAGTTGAAAATACTAAATCGACTAATTGCTTTACAATTTATATATATTCGCTCCAATTTGATTTTAATTATACTTCACCGATTCACAATAATCACAATTTTCACGTTAGTTTAAAATAGAACACCCAGTAATCGATTCTCTATTTTTCGTTCTCTAACTGAAACTCTCAATAAACGAAACAAATTTGAATCTAAAGGAATTTCAGTCAAATTGCTTCACAAGCGTTCAATTCATTAACAAATAAAATCAAAAATAGTTTACGTAGTAAAATTAGTTTTAAATAAGTGTAAATATTAATGGAAGATACCATGCTAGAGCATTCAAAAGTAGGTCAACTTTAGGAATTAATTATGAAATAACTACGATAGATAATTTAATACGATCTTTTGCATTTTATTAAGTATATCTTACACTATCAAAAGATACATTTGTTTTTTTAATACAACGTCGAGAATTCGTTGAGTTGATTTTTCATAGAAGGCAATAATTTTATTCAACAATGTATCGGGCATTTTCATCCACCCCTTTTTGCCATCTTTACGATTCTCCTCTCAAAGAACTTCCTGTCTTTCTTCAATAAAAACTGCTCCAAGTGCCGTTTGATGTCTTGGATGAAAACGAGGCGGTGCCCATTCAAAAAATTCTAAAGTGCACGAAACAGGTGAGAATCGGAAAAGGCGAGATCAGATGAATGCAGAGGAAGCAGTATATTGTAAGCTCGCTGCAACAATTTTTGTCGGCTTTGCAAAGATGCACGCAGCTTGAAAATGACGCCTTTGCAATTCAACAGTTCTGGATAATACTTTTTCGCCAAGAAATACAGGAAATTCTTTGAGCAAGGCATCAAGAATTTGACTGAAACGTGGCAAAGGAAAGCGAAAAAAAAATAAATTTAAGTTCCAAATCATACTCAGAGTCAACTCGTAAAAGTTTTATCGCAAAACATCTTGATACACGTTCCGCAGGGTGTTTTCTCTTGCTCGATTCAACTTTCCTTCTTGTCCCGTTCGATTACCTTTCTTTCGATCGCCACGTTGTCCAACCCTCGCACCTTCCTCCGATGTTGTTCCATGTTTGAAACGCGGTTTGAAGCTGCTGGTAAATCCAACAGCTGCGCCGAATCCTGTTTCTCGTCAAATCGCATCGGGGCCGGGGTAAAAACAACGCGCCGGAGAGATGCCTATGGCTGTGGATGAAAGTTTCGCGAACGACTTTGGAGAAACGGATACCAACCGGGTGGATCCTCCACCCCCTTTTCTTCTTTCTTTTGTTCGAGAGATAGCTGAGCTGCTGGAACTTGTTGGTTCGCTTTTATTTGTTTCGCTGAAGATGGGTGAATCGCGTGCGGTAATTTGATTAACGGAAATAAAATCAATACGATCAGGCTGTGCTCCTCAAGAACGAATGTTCTCGAGTGGAAAATTCAATGGGATGCTTCGTTTTAGATATGATTTTTTATGGAGTTATCGAGAGGTTCATGGAAAGTCTTTTATTCTTTTACACAATCGAATAAATCTTCGATTCATTCTGTGAGTAAAATCTGAAATGGAACAACCTGTTTATTACAACAGCCTACAAATGACGTGTCATTTGTAATCGGCGACGCGTGATTCCGATCGCACGGGGATTCTTCAAAGGACAATAATAGAGCGTCGGTTAATCGGTAGCTGCAATGTGATTTCGTGGAATCACCGAGTCGGTCGAACGGCGCGACGTTTCCAGCGTGTTAATTCCTATACTAACCAGTTTCTATGTTTGTGTTTCAGACAATGGACCGCCTGTCGAGCAGAGTGACGACGGATGGTTGAATTTCACAAAAATCACCCGCGCCGAGAGCGGCTGGTACAAATGTTACACCAGGCATATGCTCGGTATATTCACCAGCATCGGCTATTTTCTCAACGTTCGCTGTGAGTTTTGCTTTCTATTCTATCTATACAAGGTGTGTCAGGTCGGGTAGTGCACACAAATTTTCGAATTCAATTTACTCGAAAACGAAAGCTCAAAGGAAAAGAAATTTATTCCTTTTTTCGCTCCAATCTCATTAATGAATAAATTAATCCAAAGATAAGAAAAATTCCATTCATCAACGAGATTTATAAAAAGTTTATACAAAATCATATTTGTTAGTGCAAAAAGAGTATCCACTTTGAAGGTGGATGGTCGAGGAGACATTGATGTTAATTCGAAATGCTAGGGTGCCGTCGTCAGAGCCAATAACCGGAAACCACAGTCATTTGTCAAGTGCGGAAACCAGCGAGGCAAACGGAAATTATCCGTGCCCTGTCGTGAAAATTTGCAAATTTCCTACCCCCCTCCTCGGTCCCTTCCATCTTGTCGTTATAACCGAGTAACAGAAAGAGAAAGGGCGAAGAGGGATACGCCGGCTGGCACCCTTTGCATCTCGAATCACCGACGTTTCCAACGTTCCCTCCCTGTTCGACTCGCCCCTCGGTTCGCTCCCAGCTTCCGTTTACACCCTCGACCGACGATCCTGGATACGGGTTTCCGAGCACCTAATCTCTACGCAATTTAGATGGCTCGAAAGCACCTATAAACTAACCATCCACCGTAAGGAATTATCGATTACACCGTTACCCACGTCCTGTTCGAATCTCCTGGCCGGATTACTTATCCCGCGGATAACGTCGACCAGGATTTTAAACGGTGCACACCAATTTCGGCCAATTCTAGATAGCTCCAGTTCACGGAGAATAACTCTGACCTCACGGAAGGGATGCTTTCTAGAGAAGTTCGGTAGAATGGTGTTGTTTCGTAAATTGATTTCCGGGAGTCTTTGCTGATAGACGGGTTTCAACATTTGTCACCAGGAACCTTTGGTTTATTATCTGTGCAATGATTTAGATCATTTTTAATGAATAGAATTTACAAAGTTTTTATCATTTAATCATTTAAATTGACATAAAAAGAGCAGCATCGATGTTCGTAAGCTTGTTATAAATATGACGTGCTTGTTAGAACAGATTCTCCAATAGTTGTTAAAGTTCTCTTTGCAACTGATGCAGAGAATACGAAAAGGATGAAGTTAGCGCAACGTGGATCGTGATAGTTTCTAAAGTTAGCGGTTAGTTAGTAGTTAGTCGATCAATTAGCAATCACTCATTAACCGGTATTACATGGAATTAGATGCAATCAAGCTTCGAACAATCTCCTGTTAGTCAACACACAAAGTCATAAGCTTTCATCGGATGAATGCGCAATCAAGCTGAATCTGTACACTCGAAGGACACTTGTTAATTGAACGTTGGATAAATATACACATCGCGATCCTCTATTTTATATTTTCATATTTCCATATTTCTTATTCAAGTCGAAATGATGATACATGTGTCCCGTCGATACAAGGACTAAAATTGTCCGGATGAAGGATGAAAGCCCGCGTGTCGTCCGGCTTTTCCGGCGATGGATCAGATTCGTAGGTAACGAGAATCGCCATTAAACGAGAGGATCGGTTCGGTGACGGTGGGTGGGCATAGAGCTGGCTAACGAAGAAAAAGTGGAAGTTCCCTGTCGGTTGCCCTCTTCACGGTGTTTGTTATAGCGTCACGACTGTGTTTGCTGTAAAATTCCGAACAAACTACAAGACAAACGAGGTATAGTCGGACAGGCGGCGAATCGTCGAGTGTAAAAGCCTGCTATCGTCGCATCCACCACTTTGATCCCTTTGTTTTGTTAGAGGATGAGCCGGAGGATCAGCTTGCTAACTCAAAGGACTGCTCTTTCTCCGACCCTGTCCACTCTTTCTCTTTTCCTTTCTTTCCTTCGTCTATCCTCTCTCCTTTTTTTTCTTCATCCTCCGACGAATCCAAGCCCCCTTCGCTCTAATTCTTCGTTCGAGGAGAGATAGGCCAGGGCACATCCTCCTCTCGACACCCTTTTCCCTTCGTAATTGTGGACACAGCGTTAGCTGAAGAGCAAACGATCGCGGACGTATAATTCCGTAGGTGAAATCGGAAAAGGAAAGGTACACGAGAAAGCCAGACCACGCGCCAACCAGACCATCCACCTTGAACTTTATCCCTTGTACGTGCGTGTGATTCTTGATGCGCGACGATATCGATGACAGCGTCCCGGATTTCGGGATCACCTTTAAGGTAGACGGGATAAGGATGCACGTTGCGTGATCCAGAATCGTGAGCAGTTGGCTCGTGAACGTAGGACGATTTTAAAAATTGAAATTTTATTATTTCCATTTATGGTATAAACCGATAGGCTTAGAATAGGAACAGTTTGATAGGATTCATGGAATTTTTCGTAATGAATGGATTACTTTATTCAAAATATTATACAAAATATTTCGCTTTATTGAAATGAAAATTTGTCGCGGCAAGTACTAAGCATGTAAATGGATATTCAGATGATCCAGATATAGAAACGGAAGCGGAAGCGTTGAACGGCGAGGCGACCGATTCCCGGAAGATGGAGGTTCAGATCGGTGGCGCGGTGACTTTGGAGTGCGACGGTGGTTGTTGGGGACACGGTCCTGGAATGGATCCAGTCGGTGGACCTGGACCATTGGCGTTGAGTCGAGTCGTTTACCAAGAGGCTGGCGAGTATCGATGCGTCGCACCTGACAGGAAAATGCAGGACACGTGGCGTGCACAGCTTCCCTATCACATCAAGGTTACCGGTAAGTGAAAATCTACAAGCAAATTTATTCAATCGACGCTGACCTCCTCGAAATCCGACTACTTGTCGGATCGGGCGTTAGGATTATTTTAACCCTTTCGCCTCTGGAGTAAGAAGGGTATTTGTAAAAATATCACGAGAAAAGCTTTTTCAGATTACATCTGGTTTCTTCAGAATTGTTCACGCTCGTTAAGCTTCTTTCCACGAACGTTGCACATTGTTTGCGAATTTTAAATTAACCGTCCACACGATCGCGTCAGAAGAAGCGAGATCTGTAGGATTAGAATTTTTTACAATTCATATTCCATTCCCTTTTCTGTTTTTTTTTCTCTTCTTGTTAACGTTATTATCATCTCTCATGATGCTGTAGCAAGTTCTGTCTCTCCTTGCCTCTTTCTATACAATGCATCACGCGCAACGAGGCAAAAAACGTATCCTTTCTATCGCGTACAATGTGCGACGAGTTTGTTGTTCCGCGAGCACATCATTACGTTGGCTATTGAGCGAATTTCGAACGGTGACGGAAGAAGAGCTGGTGATATCTATCAGTGTATGTGCAGCGTTAAATAAAAGCAACATCCGGGAAAATCGTCCGCGAGGGAGAAATTAATTAAAGGTGTATTGTTATCAGGGATCGATGAATGGTTATAATTTCGTTTCTTCGTTAAGTAGATACACAGAGCTTTTATAGAAATTTTTTAAATATTCCATAGAATCGTTCATTAAAATTTTTTATTTTTCTCTAATAGAATTTGAGAGATTTTAAAATATTCAAAAACGTCTTAGACATTTTAAAATCATCTTGTATATTTATGATAAAAGTAGATAATGTTATAGAAAGTAGCAAGAAATTTCTTTTAGTATATATAGATATGGGATCTGGAGTTTCAGACCTAATAAAGGGACTGGTAAAAGTAGGGATGACAAAGGTGGTGACGTAGGGGATAAGATAGCCGAATACGATTGCAGCAGCCCTCGGTTCAACTCCCGGTGCCCCTGGCACCTATTTTTCATAGGTTCCTACCTATATTTTCGATAGGAGTATCCTTAGTGAAAGGTATTACTATGAAAAGGTAGTAAATAATTTGATTTCGTAGACGGCACCGTAGAAGGTATTACTTATATTAGATCCCTTCTATAGTACTTTATGGTCTTTTCTTTAGTAGATTTATTCTTATCACAAAGGTATCGTTAATCGAAAACCTCTTATCATTTTTTTCTTAATCCTCAACACTCCTTAAATATTAAATATGCATAATATTTCCATTTTGAAGATTTGATTTTCTAGTAAATCAACAATCTACATTTCTTACACAAAAGATAGAAACTATCCCTCGAATTTCAATTTCCAATAAAAAAAAAGAAATTCAACGAATTCAAACAATTCCAAGGATTCTCATTCCCCATATTCTCAAGCATAGGAACACGTTTTCATAGGATAGCTTCGTTCAGGCAAATGTTCGACTTGTGGATAAATCGACACAGGGGAGAGTGGCTCGCAAGTAGAAGTCGAATCGAGGGGAAAGTAAGAGGGTCTTCGTCGTTGTGGGACTTCTGTTTGATCTTAGACGTGCACGTGGTCGTGTATATAAACGCGTGGAATGTATGTGCCCTCCCTCAGTTTCCCCTCGGCGAGGGTGCAGAAAACAAGTTTATGTCGCGGAATGGGAATTGGTGTCTCGTAAAGCCTGTTTCGTACGTGGCGTTCCACGAGCCATCGAAGTGATCGAAGCTCGTTTCAGCCGCGAGAAAGCGATCTCCCGTTCCGGGATACATCTTTGAAATTGAGAAGCTCGCGATCATCTCATGATTTTAACTCGGACGAGAATTTTACGTTCGTTTTTTCTTGCATTGCTCTGCTTTCATGACCGATCCACTTATTTCCTTTTATTTAAGGAAAGTTTCTCTACTAAATATTTAAACCGAAGCATCCTCGTCTGTATTTTTACTAAAAGTCTTCCAAGAATCAGAAATCCAAGAATGAAAAGATAAGAGAATTTAACTTCTCTACTCCTCTTCTATCCACTCGCGAAGTAGCTGTTCTGATAGGCGATCGTTTGTCATGCTGACGGATTATGAGCACCAACGTCCATCCACTCTGGAAACTGCTGCGGGTATTAGAATCCGATTCAAAACTAAATCGGACGCTAATGGAATTGACTATTATAAGTTTGCGTGGCAAAGCTCGCAATCCTCGAACAGAAGGCAGCTTCTCCTAATGGATATCTTCCTCTAAGCAAACATTCTCGACATCCTGGCAATGTTTCTGATTGCTATACCCTTGTGCTAGTTAATTAGAGGAATCCTTGGAAGGGTAACTGGTAATTGTAGTGCTGGAGAATTTCGCTGGAATTATTGCGAATGCCCTTTATTTGTAGATACAGTAATCTCGGTAGTTGCTGCTTATAATAGACTTTACATAAATTCCAATGTGCTTGTCTAATTTCTTTTTTCTTTTTTTTTTTTTTTTTTTTTTTCACATAAATTCTCCTTTTATTCGGTATCAAAAAAGGGTATTGATAGAAAACTCGATAAATTCGTAACATTTGTTAGAGCGTCCTTAACACAGATCTGGAAATTGACCTACATAAACGTCACTGTTAAATCCCATACTCCAAATTCCTTCTTGTTAACGGATTTCTATCGACAAAAAGAAAATATGTTTGTCACTCGAATGGTGGAGTGTTTGTATCACGATATCGAATCTCCGATTTTCAGTAATCGTCACAATATTTTTATTGTACAGTCTGTTTCTCTTTGAAACATGATAAATGGAAATTCTTCAGCCTGCAATAGGATGACTTCTTCCTAAAACGGCAACTCGCTATCCAACCAGAAGCAATCACCGAACCAATCCCGACTTCTTATTGATTGCAGTTCGAGCAACTTGTGCGTGCAAAGGGTTCACTCGATATCCTCGGGATTTGAAAATCATTCCGCTAAATTGAACAGGAAGAGGCTCGGAAATTATTCCATTGTTTCGATTTTGAGGCTCGTTCTTCTGAAACTCATCCGTCTAGTAACTTCTGTCATGCTGAATGCTAAACATTTCAATCTGACATTTCGTTCGTAAAGGATGGAAATTTATTTTGAAGTATTCCGGGGTTTTCATTTTCTAGTTACTGCATAATTCATGTAGAAATTCATACACCACAATCAACCGCGTTTTCTTCAATTTTTTTTTACGAATTTACAAAATCATTCGATGCAAACTTTATTGTAGCCCAATCCTCCCGCACTTTTTTATGCATCCTTCGTTTGAATTTTAAATTTACAATATGAATCCTTGTTGCGCCAACAGCTGGACGATGCACGGTGTAAAGTTTGCACGAAAAAAAATGGGTGAAAATTATTTTTATAATTTGAATTGCACATTGGCTTGGTAACTAAATTCGTCAGAAAATGAATTCTAATTAGTCGGTTAACAATCAGTTGAGCGAATTTTCGAATAGAAAGGGGCGAAAGTTAACAACAGCCCTTTGCAAGGGTGATGAAGGAAGTCGGCGAAGATGAAACGGATACGATGAGCTGGTATTTGCATGCTTAATAAAAGGTACGAACGAATCAGCGAGTCATTTACAAGGGAAACGTGTATCAGAGCGGTGGTGAACAAAGGTTTGATTGTGGGATCAAAGCGCAGGAAGTATGAGAGAAAGGAAGCTGATTCCAGCGTGAAAAGCTTCTCCACCCATCCTGGTCTCGTCGAGGCGTGTTGTAAATTTTTCAACCAGTCCAAGTTTCAGTTGCTCTCTTCTATCGTTTCGTTTCTACGCGGAACGGGTAACGACCGCGCGGAAATTAACCCGCCGCGCCTCCCCTTTTGTGGCATCGCGCGAGCTATGTGATTAAAGGAAGCTGAATCGAGCGGATCCTTCGTCTCGATCCTTCTTCTTCTGTTGCTCTTTATTCGTTCCGCGTTATGGATCGTTGAATGGGAATCGGAAGCACCTGTGCACGTCTCGTCTACGAACGAGAAATTCATTGATTAAGAGGGCGAATTTTAGGGATCGCTATCCCGACACCCTTAGATTTCGAAGAATTATATGGGGAAATAGGTGTGTGAATATTTGAGAGTTCGAATATGAACAAGAATAGAAACTTTGAAATTTTTTTATTTTTTAATCAGTTACACTTAATTACATTCAACCCTTTCGATGACACCAGATATTTAATATCTAGCTCGATTATAAAAAAACAAATTGAGTCACGTAAAAGTGAACAATCTTCGGGGAAGACAATTTTTACGGTGTCATAACTGAACGCCGAAAGGTGACATGCTCGAAGTGTCGCGATTCCGGTGGTTGCTGATGGAATTCCACTTTCACGTTCACGCGCGCCACATATTCCATGGAAACCGTCACGAAGCCTCTCAACAATTTTCCCTGCAGCAATCTCGTGCTTCTCATCGAATCGTTGCGCCAAGTTTCCTTACCGTGCACCTCGTCGTATCCTTACGAACGATTGCACCCGCGACACAATGTCGAATGCACGTTTCGCGGATTGGAAAAATTTTCACGCCACGCTCTCGGAGACAATTTCATCCAGACAACCATCAGCCACCGGCTCGGTGGATGGAAAAGATTTCTTATCGAATCTGCCGGAGGAGTTTTCATGGCTCCAATTAGCAGTTTCGGGCCAGGTAAACGAGACAAGGGTTAATAGGAACGTTTCGCGGAAAATTTATCTCCCTCTTCTTATCTATGCAGAAATTTTATATCCGGGATCTGGATGGTTATAACAAGTTTTAGCTTCGTACAGAGATTCGTGAGATTGTTGTTAAAATTTTTCAACGCTTTTGAATTTCATTTTCAAATTTTATTTTAACTCTTCAATTATGGTCTCAAAATTTTCATTGATTTTTTTTTTATTACGTTTTCGTAGATAATGTCCTTCGAATTGACCATTATTCGCGCGGTATGCTTTGTCAACTGTGAGGAAAGAGAAAGATACGGTAAAGGGGTGACACGTATTACGTTTGCAGAGCGGCGAAAAAGCTAGTGG